TTGCGTGTGTAGAACTTTTGTCATCTGAAAACAATTAAAATGTTCTGTTTTCTCTCATTAGAATGGTTGATGAAAAGGGAATGACTTCTAGCTGTTTAGAACTTGTCGTTTGCAAAATTCAAGTTCTATCTTTTTAACAGAAAACTGAAGAACGGTGTGTATACGAGATTTTATATCCAAGGAACACCTTTTCCATATAACTAAGCATCAAGCAAAATTTACCAAGCAACAAAAACTCTTAAAGTAGCGGCAAGTGCCGAGATAATTATGCGTATCAGGCTGATTGAGCTTTTTTTTGACTACGTATTTTGGGTGAGCTTTTTAACAAAAGTGTAGTTAAAGGCAGAGTGGACCAATTAGCTTAGTGTTACTCAGCTTTACGGTAATGGGTAGTGAAAGGGAGCGTGAGTGTTATAGCCAGGTGAATTTTTGTTTTTGAAGGTTTTACAACATCTGCGTTGAGTCTGTTGTCGTTACAGTATTTCGCATATAGGTGTATGTTAGTGTCGTCACTTAAAAGATATGGCTTACGTAGCAATGTACATTCTGTCTTTGTGTTAGTCATCATTGCTGACTCTAGTAAACCACAAATCTTCGCTAAGAAATGTTACTAAAAAAATCCCAAATTGCATATTCTTTGCCTCCTCTTGTCCTGTGATTTTCCCCCTTAATTTGAAGAACATGAAGTAGATCATGATCAGTCTGAGCCTCTCAAACCCTGTGATTCATAAGATTGAAATTTCTGTGTTTTTTTAGGATTATTCCTTTATTTTTGAAGACACAGTAGTTTTAAAATATACCCATAGTTCTATTATATAAAAGAAAAGTAAGAGCATATCAAATGCCGCAAGTGTACATATTCTACCCGGCTGCAAACTTCCTGCTAGAAAAATCCTTCCTTTCATCACACTTTTTACTACCGTCGTAAATCGCACCTTCTACGCTAACGTGGTAAAATACCACCTGAAATTATTTACAGTGTTATGCTTGATGTGAAAGTGTTTGCTCCAGTGTTTCGACCATATCAGGAAGAGGTAGAGCACAAAATATTAGGGAAATCTGAGGTATTCGCTAATAAGTGAATGTTTGTTCTTTCAGCCAGAAGATGGCGAGCCGCAGACAATCCATCCGAATAAGGAGCAGTTAACAAGGAGATATGCAATTATTCCAGAACAGGTATGGACTGAATGATTTTCAAAAAAAAAATGTCATTTTCATTCCAGTATGAAAAATTCAACGGTTGCGTGAATATATGCATTAAAATTAATAGTCTTATAGGCATTACTGCTTTGCGTTTATCACAAGTACCTAATAACATCAATAAAAAATTTTAAAATGTTATGGCTTTTCAGCAATCTCAACAACAACAGAGGTATGTAGATATTGTGCAGTGGTGGTGGATCTGTGATTTGGTTTCTAACAAAACTGAGTTTATCTCTACCTTCATTTGAAAAAGAAACTTTTATTTCCAGTTCACAAGAAGGTTGCTGCTCTACGGACAATGTAATAATTGTGCCTCATGTGCAAATCACCCCAAATGAATCACACCTATTTAACAGGGCTATCAGCTCAGGTGGAGGTCTCTTGGCAGGTAGGGAGAGTTTTGTCTTGTGTTTTGCCTCTCACAATGTGCCAAATTTCCATCAAAAAGTTCATCAGGGAAGCCAGAAGTAAACACGAATAAAAGGACACACTTACCCATAAAGATTCTTTCAAATGCCTAGATCTAATCAGCTATCTCTATAAAACATCATATCTCATGTAACTAAGAATTTTCACCGTGTATAGAATTGGTCTATAAGTTGTAATGGCAAATGAAAATTTCTCTTCAAACAAGTTGCAAATATTGCCAATTTGCTGCTAAAAAATGACTTAATAGGCAGTAATGAAATTATTCAAAGTGAGCATACGTAGAAAGTACGTAGCTAAGTGTATTTTCGCATTATTCGTGCTAATATATGATGTGGAGCATCTCTATGCAATGAAGTAAGAAGTGAATATGCCTCACAGCGCAAATGATTGAACTACCATGAAGGAAAAAGTTTTGAAGCAAATGTACAGAAGTTGAGGTTAAAAGAAGTGTAATGGAGGACAATCCACTATAAAAAGAGTTTTGTCTCAAAAGAATTTCCGAGTTTCTCCAATTTTATGTGAAACAAATAAAAAGTGAGGTATTTATTGCTTAGATAAAAGATACACACTGATTAATGCAGTTTGAAATACTGACTTCTTTCTAAAGAAGTTATGAAGGATCTTTGCTGCCAAAAGTAATTTTTGCGGCCGGTCGTTAATTGAACTAAAGTAAATGTCTGATCTAAAAGAGCTAGGCAAAGAGTTACCATTTAATAAAATTGTTATTTCAACAACAATCATTTCTGCGCTGCTGATTTGGGTTAAGTTAAACTTTAGGACGTTTTGGATCTTTCAAATATTTTTAAATCGAAAAAACGTTCATAATCTCTTCCAAAGAATCGCAACAGATACGGAAAACAGTTTTAAAATCAAAGTGTCAAACTGCCTACCTGTTGGTATCATTTTCCGAATCAACGCCGACTAAGTGCTCTTCTCTCGTGAGCCATGATTTCAAGATTATGTATGATTCTATAGGAGAGAAAAATCCTTTCCTGTAATCGGATAGGGTACACAGATTTGAGCTCAGCGTTGCGACTTGCTTTTATCGGTATTAAAATCTTTTTGACGGAAGTCACCTACTACCTTTCCTTTGTAAGAAAAAACATATAGTTTTGAGAGTATTTTCTGATTGATGAGCGGAAGTGAATACATTTGCAGTAATGAGTTCACTTCTTCTTATAATAAGCAACAGCTAAAGGCTACTGGCAGCGGCCTTGATCCCGGATTTACGTGATTTCCTCTACAAGCGT